AAAATCAATAATTGTCTTGATCGGCTTACAATCTAAATAAATCAACAGCTACTATTTCTAAACATCAATCTAAAATGATTATGCTGATTAAAACATTATCATTGGTTGAGCTCTTGATCTTAATAAAAGTCAAAGGTTTTCCTCACCAAATCCTGTTCTCAGTTGGCTCAAGGTGTGGTGGATTGTGGATTTATGTTGAAAATCTTCATTTCAGAGTAAATCATCTTTTAAGCAAAAATTCATTGTACAGTGCCTTGCGAAAGTATTCGGCCCCCTTGAACTTTGCGACCTTTTGCCACATTTCAGGCTTCAAACATAAAGATATAAAACTGTAATTTTTTGTGAAGAATCAACAACAAGTGGGACACAATCATGAAGTGGAACGAAATTTATTGGATATTTCAAACGTTTTTAACAAATAAAAAACTGAAAAATTGGGCGTGCAAAATTATTCAGCCCCCTTAAGTTAATACTTTGTAGCGCCACCTTTTGCTGCGATTACAGCTGTAAGTCACTTGGGGTATGTCTCTATCAGTTTTGCACATCAAGAGACTGAAATTTTTGCCCATTCCGCCTTGCAAAACAGCTCGAGCTCAGTGAGGTTGGATAGAGAGCGTTTGTGAACAGCAGTTTTCAGTTCTTTCCACAGATTCTCGATTGGATTCAGGTCTGGACTTTGACTTGGCCATTCTAACACCTGGATATGTTTATTTGTGAACCATTCCATTGTAGATTTTGCTTTATGTTTTGGATCAGTGTCTTGTTGGAAGACAAATCTCCGTCCCAGTCTCAGGTCTTTTGCAGACTCCATCAGGTTTCCTTCCAGAATGGTCCTGCATTTGGCTCCATCCATCTTCCCATCAATTTGAACCATCTTCCCTGTCCTCCATAAAAAGTGTCGTTTAAAGTTTGCCACAAGCCACCTGGGAGACACACCAAACATGTGGAAGACGGTGCTCTGGTTAGATGAAACCAAAATCGAACTTTTTTGCAACAATGCAAAACGTTATGTTTGGCGTAAAAGCAACACAGCTCATCACCCTGAACACACCATCCCCACTGTCAACCATGGTGGTGGCAGCATCATGGTTTGGGCCTGCTTTTCTTTAGCAGGGACAGGGAAGATGGTTAAACTTGATGGGAAGATGGATGGAGCCAAATACAGGACCATTCTGGATGGAAACCTGATGGAGTCTGCAAAAGACCTGAGACTGGGACGGAGATTTGTCTTCCACCAAGACACTGATCCAAAACATAAAGCAAAATCTACAATGGAATGGTTCACAAATAAACATATCTAGGTGTTAGAATGGCCAAGTCAAAGTCCAGACCTGAATCCAATCGAGAATCTGTGGAAAGAACTGAAAACTGCTGTTCACAAACGCTCTCCATCCAACCTCACTGAGCTCGAGCTGTTTTGCAAGGAGGAATGGGCAAAAATTTCAGTTTCTCGATAGAAACTGATGATAGAGACATACCCCAAGCGACCAGAGATCCTCACTGAACTTCTGGAGAGCGTTTGCTGCACTGAAAGTAAAGGGGCTGAATAATTTTGCACGCCCAATTTTTCAGTTTTTTTATTTGTTAAAAAAGTTTGAAATATCCAATAAATTTCGTTCCACTTCATGATTGTGTCCCACTTGTTGTTGATTCTTCACAAAAAATTACAGTTTTATATCTTTATGTTTGAAGCCTGAAATGTGGCAAAAGGTCGCAAAGTTCAAGGGGGCCGAATACTTTTGCAAGGCACTGTAAATCTGTTTTAGGCAAAAATTCATTGTCCTTGCTGAATCATGAGGCTTTGGCACTATTCAATGTCCCAAGCTGTCATCCAGCTCTCCGTAGTAGCTCTATTGGTGGTTTCATCCATTCCTCCCCCACAGGCCGAGCACCTGCGGGGGAGCACCCCCAGAGAGGTGCTCTCCCGGACTGCCTCTCTGCAGTCTCTCGGTCCTCAGAAAATCAACCGGACAGAGCCTCCGGCTGCAACTGTGGAGAATACTCTTGTTCCTCTGCTTGCCAGGGATTTAAAGGATTCTCATCTCATAAGCTTGGTCCCTACCATCCAACCAGATGACGCAGTTTACAGTTAATACCTTATTTGGTGTGAAAAGTCATATTGTTCAGAACTATTGCATATCTTTTACTGTCAAAGCTCAAGTCCACTGCCCGTAACTGGCCTCCACCCCACTGTGATTCAGCTTCAGACTCTAACTTCTTTCTTAGCAAATTAAATCATCCTTATATCTAATAAAAATACAGAAACTCACTTCTCTGATTGAAATACAAAAAATCCCATCATTGTTTTTAACTGAACAATCAGAATTACACACTGATCTTATACAAAACTATCAGTGTTTTAAAATTAAAACATGGATCTCTATATTTTGAATACAACACTTGACTAAACATTGATTATCATTGATTAAGCAGTAATTATCAACCAAATCTTTACTTTTAGGCTTGAAACCATCATTTTTACTTTCTTAATAAACTCAGTGTCTCTTTCTTTGTCTCACACACACACACTCCCTGTACTTCCTCTTTTTGTATGGATGTGTGTCTAATACTTCCCCTTTGTCTATGATTCAGCATCTTTCACTCTTTGACTTAGATTTTATATGTAAAATCACTTTTAGAATCATTTCTTATTTTATTCTTACACATTCAAATTATTTCAAACAAACATGCACATAAATCATCTTATGATGATCTTAACTTGCCACTTTATGCATTCTGCCATAGCATTTTAATAACAATTCTCTCTCTCCAGCTCCTCTGGCTGTTTCTTGTAAACATTCTTGCTGTTCTTGTGTGAATTCTAACTGAAAAGAGACAATTTGTTCACTAGTCTCCTGCAGCTCTTCTTGTAAAGTTATTTCTGATGCCATAGCAGAGGTGCTTCCAGTCCCACCGCCCACTCGGCTGTGATAAGAGCATATTTGTGTTTTGTGCTAACACAAACACCCCCACATGAACTACTCTACACGCACTTCTACATACCTTATCTTTGTTATCAGCATTTGTTTGCAGTGGGTGAAGTTGCATTGCTCACACTAGACCTTGATCTCCTTGTACACCACACAGGGCGTGTGTCCGATAACCACTGACACTCATGAATTCACATCCCCGGGTCTGTCAGCTGAAGGATTCTTGAGTTTACAGTGTGAAGATTTAAAGCTTGTCCTTCAGTGTTATTATGATTAACACAACCTTAGTGTTCTGATGCTTTATATAAGTAAGCCTTATCTTATTACCATATAGTTACTCATCTACAGGAACCATATGGTTAGATAACATATTTCTAAGGTTTTGTCAGAGTTTAGAAGTAAGAAGTTGCAGGTCATCCAGGCCTTTATGTCTTTAAGTCATGCTTGAAGTTTGACCAGCTGATCTGATTCATTTGGCTTCATAGATAAATATAACTGAGTATCATCTGCATAGCAATGGAAATTTATGTTGTGCTTCCTGATAATATTGTCTAAAGGGAGCATGTATAAAGTGAAGAGAATTGGGCCTAACACAGAGCCCTGTGGAACGCTGTGACTAACGTCAGTTTGTGTGGAACATTTGTCATTGACATGAACAAATTGAAATCTTTCTGATAAATAAGATTTGAACCAACTTAGTGCAGTTCCTTTAATCCCAATAACATGTTCAAGTCTCTGCAGTAAGATGCTGTGATCAATGGTGTCAAAAGCAGCACTGAGCTCTAAGAGGACAAGTATGGAGACAAGTCCTTTGTCCGAGGCTAGGAGAAGATCATTGGTGACTTTCACCAATGCGGTTTCTGTACTATGATGGACTCTAAATCCTGACTGAAAATCCTCAAACAAATCATTCTTGTGCAAGTGGTCACATAACTGCTTTGCAACAGCTTTTTCAAGGATTTTAGATAACAGCAGATTAGATATCAGTCAACTAGGACACCTGGGTCAAGAGTAGGCTTTTTGAGTAGAGGTTTAATTACTGCAACTTTAAAAGCCCGTGGAACATAACCTGTTAATAGAGAGAGATTAATCAGATCTAGTATGGATGTGTTGATTAGGGGAAAGATGTCTTTGAGCAGCCTGGTCGGGATGGGGTCCAGGAGACATGTTGATGATTTAGATGAAGCAATTGTTGAGGTCAATTCAGAGAGATCTATGGGAGAGAAGTAGTCCAAGTATAAATGAGATCTTGCTGTTATGGCCTGTGTTTCCTGTTTTTTTTTTTTCCTGGTTCTCTCCGGGATCCGTATTTACAGCTTCGCTGACACTCATTATATCCAGAACCTTGTTTTATCTTTGAGACATTTTCATGTTATTATGCTATACTGTTATTTTCTCATAAAATAACCAGCTCCAGCTGCTCTTTGAGAATCACTGATCAGACACTTAAATCCACGCACAATAATTAATCCACAAAAAACACGTGAATGCAGCTCATGAGCCGTGATAAATAAAGAATAACACCCTGCCCATTGTGATGTTCCAGACGTCATTGTCAGCAGTGTGTGCTACTGTCCCTCACTCCAATCTGCAGGGCTCATGTCAGGAAGTAGAAATGATGTGAATCACTCTAGAGGTGTGTGATGCCATATTAGATACTTTGTCCCATAAATTTGACTCTTTCTATATACAACATACTATATGTTGGTCGTGCAGTGACCATCAGACGCCAGTGACATAAAAATCTTTTTTTTAAATGGACGCACAGTGCATCCAGGATTACAGCCGTTGGTGCCCTAAAGAATAATATACTGATGTACACTATCAGCCTAGTTTAATTAGTAGTTTAATTAGCCTGGTCTAAGTAACCAATGTAATATTTTAGTACTTGTGCAAAAAGCATTTATTTTATACTGTAGCACCAACTTCTAAACAGAGCCCTTGTAGTCCCAGCTGTGACTGACGCCCAGATGTGCCGTGTTAAATGGAGTCTGCATCAGTAGAGAATTGTATTTGGGGTTTATTTTTTATATTAACCTGTGTTAAAATGTGTCCCCTCTGTGTTTCCAGAGGAGAGGAACTACATTTGTGACCAGTGTGGTCAGACCTTCAAACAGAGGAAACACCTTCTGGTTCACCAGATGAGGCACTCAGGAGCCAAGCCCCTGCAGTAAGTACTGGTGATGCAACCTGCTGCCAGAAAACAAACCATTATATTTAAAGTAGGTGATGAGTTTAACCACAATTCTGCAACCACATGCCATTTTCTCGCCACTTGTTTATTCAGAAACAGATTTTACTTAGTTATAACATAGGACAGGTTTCCACAAACGTCTTCTGTAAGTTTGACAGGGACACTCAAGCGGTTTAGTGCTGCGCTAACCCCGTCTCCTGCCACTCACAGAAGACGGTCACTAGTGGGGGTCGAGCTCGAGACCCTCCATGCTACTTTCAGACTCTGATGACATCGTCAGGGTTCATCACTCAGACTTGACAAAGATCCTCCAGAGCCACAGAGACTTTACACACTGTAGAATGAGTTTTATTCAAGAAGCATGAACTAGAATTAGTGGACAGTGATTGATTGATTGATTTATTCTTTCAAACATGCAGAACAGAACAAATGACAGCAACACACACATAATTACACATCCAACCAATGCTAATCCAAAATCAGTTTGCTTACACCTATTACATGTTTGAATGGAGTAGGAAGAAGTCAGACTTATCCAGTCCTACCCCATGACATCATATTATACAAAAATTAATGCATCATTGGCTGCAAGCAGTATC